TCACGACTTAATGTCCAAGGACAAAATGTGGGTCCTGAGGTTACACAGGTTGAGAACCATTGATCTAAAGTAAAGAGTGTCTTCATACAGCCATGTTACTTTTTTTTCAGCACTAACAAAATATGTAAACAGACCTTTTCCAAGGACCTCACAACTTCTCAGATTGAAGTGAAGTACTTTTATAGCAGTTCTTGTAAACAGAGCTGTACAAACAAGTCCTTCTTCCTTCAACTTCCAGTATGATAAAACCTCCTCAGGAGGAGCTCTAAACCACCAATGAGCAATTATCCCTTGTAAACAGAACCCCCTCTCCTCATGTGTTAGCAACCAGCCCAGAAAAAAAAAAGGGTACAGAAAGGCCCGAAATAAGCAACCTGATCCTCCATGGTTAACAGCTTATTAGCATTTGCACTGAATACTTGCTCATTCGCATTTTGCAACTGCTGCATTTTAGGAGCACCAAAATGCACAGGAAAGAGTTGCAATGTAGCATGTTGGAATAAGTCCTTAAGCTGGGTATACAAGATGGCCCGAAACGCGTGTCAGGGGAGGGACTGGATTCCCCGCTCCGCTCCTCCAGCGCTGACTGGCGGAATGGATGGGGGAGGGGGGGTACAGCTGGCTCTGCCTCCAGATAGGCAGAGCCAGCTGTCACTCACGCAGCTGGGCGGATCCATACATAATTGTCGGGATCCGCTTCAGCTGCGGCGTCTCAGTATACCGCGAGCTGTAGCTAGCGTTATACTGAGCTTAGGGTGACAGGAGGACGCTAGTTTGTGTCCTCCCGTTACCCTAAGGAGAACTATGGGGAAAAGCTCTAACCCCATAGTTCTCCTTTAATCACTGATAACACTAAACTGATGAACAGTGAAAGCGTTTTACTCGTTGCCTATGGGCGTTTTTTGTGATTTTTGCGGGCGCACGCAATTTTAAGGCTTGACATGTTTGGTGTCTATTTACCCGACGTGACCCCGACTCTTATGTTTTACTAAAAATAAAATATGGGTAAGGGACACTTTTTTTTTTTTTTTACATTTATGGTACTTTTTTTCATTATATAGTTCAAAAACAAATAACCCCCCCCAGTGGTGATTATATACCTCCAAATGAAAGCTCTCTCTGTACCCAAAATGTTTTAACATAAATTGCAAGGCTATAGTCCGGTCATGCTGACTGGTGAAATTTTTGACTGGCTGGTGAGCCACCATCAAATTTTTCAAGCCGTGTGTGTGATATATTTATTTGCACACACTTTCCAGCCTTAATAGAATTGTACTGCAAACCTCCCTTTCCCCCTCTACTGCATTCCCCAAACTGACATTTTACCTTGCCTTGCTCCTAATAGTATGAAATTCCTTGTCTTATTCGCCGTCATGCCTATACATGGTTTGTAAAAGTTTTCTAGCGGGGGCTGTTAACATAGGTGGTTCCCTCAGAACTTTATCTGCTTGGCATCTTTGAATGCAGCACTCCTTGCATTTTGTGAATGCACACCTATTTCAGGCAGTGCTGATGTGATGATGTCAGCGCTTCCAGATCAGAACTACTGGAAGTTGTTGCTGTAAACTGTCCCTCTCAACAGGAAATGGACTGGAACACTATTCCTTAACATCTATTTTAAACCCTGTACCAATGTATAGTTTGAAATTAAATATGTACATGGGGTTGGTTATATTTTCTTATGGCCTGTACAGCCTCTACTTTTTAACTGTGCCTGGCTGATCCTGTCACCATAAGTCTACCCGATAGTGGAATAATGGACTTTCTACAGTGAAATATCCACAATGCACTTGTTAGAAAAACAGGTACATGAGCACTGTCACATTCACTTTTTTACCTATAAGTAATGGGTATTTCCATTGCTTCCTGGCAGCTGAATGGAGGGGCAGGGGAACAAAGCAAAAGTAAACTTGTGCAGCTAAAGGACAGGGTTTTAAAATTAGTATGCTACTTTGCCCAGCATGGGCAAAGTCCCCGTGAATTTTGATGTTCTGTTTTAAATTTATTTTAAACCATTAAGAGCATTGCTTACAGTTATGAAACTAAAATATTATTGAAAATTGGACTATTGCGCGTGTGTATACTAGACATGTTTTGCATCTCTTGGCTCGAGTTCCCAGTGTATGGAGAGGTATAAGAAACCCACACCACCTAATACACATTTCCTGGTGACTTTACTGGGTTATTTCTTATATCCATAACATACAGTGTGGATAGAATTGTTCCTTTGTGGCCAGTGTCTTGGAATGCAACTCTGTTTTGAAGACTTCTTAGGTAGGAAGGAAGTCTCCCTGTTGGTATGGAATTGAACATTCACAGGAAGACATAAAGAGAGCTCAGTAGAGGAAGCATATCTGATTGATATCTATTTTTATAAGTGCAAGAAAACCTGCTGATCTTGTCAGAAATTCAGAGCCACAAATCCAAGTCCACACTTGCTGCGTTATCTCAAAAAGCCCTACTAGTTTTTATCTTGGACAACAAAATAATTCACCGTTATGTTGTGGAGATCTGCAAGTAGGCATGGTTGGGTAATTTAGTCGTTTTTTGGACTGAAACAACACTAAGTCCACAAAAAAGCTCTGTGTTATGAGCCCACGTCAGGACTTAGTAGCTGAGTGAATTTCTAGCAGTTCAAAAGGTATTCCTCCCTGTGTCCATTCAAGGAGACAGCTTGATAATAAGCAACCTTGGGTTATACTGCTGCTCACAGGACCAGTGGACATTAGGCACATAGAAAACTGGGGCTTTAACTGTACCACCTCACACCTGCCCATTTGCGCTTAGTGTCCTCAAGGGGAATGGACATTCCCTTTTGCTTTGTTTCTTTGTGTGAGTTGGAAGATTTTTTTTTTTCTTCTACCATCAACAGTTCATCTCTCTGCGACGTTCGTGCAGTGGGCGTGACACCTACATACGTGTTGCTGCAGAAAAACCTTCCTTTGTTACTGCACAGTCCGGTTCGGCAACTTCAATCCTGGCATCGGACCTCCATTTAGAGTTCTGGGATTAATGGTATTAACCCGTGAACCAGTTCCATGATGTGATACAAATCCAGTCCCTTCGGTACATCCGCAAACCTAGATGTTTGAGTCATGGTGTCTTCTGTCCCTGGGATTGTCAGTGGGCAGTTGTTTGTTTGTTTTTTCGATCTGTGAAACGATCGCCGTTTCACAGCCGCACACAGTATTTAACTTGGGCATGTTGGGTATGTATTTAGTCATCCTAACCTCATCTTTAAAAAAATTTTTTAAAAAGTGGGTATTTTATTGTGTTTTGGGGCACTAAATTTAACTTGAGTGCATTTTTCACTAAATTTTTGGGTTTGATAATACGTTGGGTTAATATCGTGCAACATAAAAATTTACAACTGCCAGCATTTCATTCTACAGGGTCTTGGCTTTCAGAAAATATATAATGGTTGGGGGTTTTAAGTAATTTTCAGGCCTAAAATGTGGATTATAACATGGGTGCAAAAAATGAAAAACAGGCCTCGGTCATTAGGGAGTTAAATCCTCGGTTTTGAGAGACTGGTGCATTTTGTATTCCGTAATCGCAACCATGCTTAAAGCTCATAACTCCTTCCTGACAAGGTTTATCTTTGGACGTGGAAGATCTTCTTCTTCCTTCTTTCTTCTTCGTTCCCTCTCAGTGGCCATGTTGTTTCTTCCTTTCAACTGGATAAGAAAACTTGGTCCTTATTACCAACAAAAGTCAGGTGTCTGGCCGCTCAGTTCTAGTTCAGCGTCATCTTGCTAATCATTTGCGGATTCATACCTTTCTACAAGGGGGTTATACACATTGCTACACTTCTTTTTACTCAAAGCAGTCAATACCTTTCACATTAATGAGGATTTTGTGTTACCTTCCCTGTGTCTGGCATTGGTGCATCCCAAGTAGATCTGTCTCCTTTGCTTGGTTGTGGGGCTGGCGGGGTTTACCTATTGCCCGCTCCTTCTTTTAGGCAGATGATTCCCTGCTCATTATTTTCAGAATGTCCTAAAAGAGGTTCTCTGGCTTCCTGATCCACTTTTTCTAAGGGGATTTGTCAGGTTATAGTGCAGGCCTATGATTTTTGAGATAAGTGCTTCCATTTTTAAAGCCCACTCCACTAGAGCAGTAAGTGCTTCTTGGGCTTTTTGTCTTCAGGCCTGTGTCTCAGACCTGTAGGGCTGCAACCTGGTTTTCTGTAGATAAATTCTCTAGGTTTTACAAGGTCAGTGTGTCTGTTTCTGCATATTCTAGTTTTGATTGAAAGATTCTGCTAGAGCTGTTTAATGCTCTTGGTTTCCCTTTTTACTTTTGTTTTTTTGCCTATTAGGCTGGTTTGCCTGTGTTTTTTGTTTTGGTGTGCCTGCCCCTTAGTTTTGGATTGCTTTTGATGTCCCTAGGATGCATCAAGCATGTCCCACGATGGATGATAGAGAAAATTAGGATTTTTGTCCTTTTCTCAGATTCCAATAAGCGACATGCCCCCTCAAAAGCTATTCTCTCTTTGGACTGCTTGCTACAACTGAGCAGGTTTGAGGCGGTAGTGGGCTGGCTTTCAGTTTTCTATGTGCCTAGAGTCAATTATTTAGTAGGTGGCAATATAACCCTAGGTTGCTTATTATCATCAAGCCGTGTTCCTCAATGGACTCAGAGAGAGGATGTTACAGTGAGTACAAAAATCCTACATTTGTTGTTGTTTTTTTGTTTTTTTTAAAATTGTCACAAGGGCTGATGGGAAATCTTTAAACTGGGGGAACCTGTGACAAATGTCTAAAAGGGGGTTCCCTCTCGCTTTGTTGTGTTTCTGGGACAGTGTGTGTGTGTGTGTGTGTTAATACGAAATCATATTTTGCATATAATTTATGTATAATTCAATATAATGTATAATTCACGGAACAGGATTGTTATAGTTTGTACCTGCTGTTATTACCAAAATAAGTTATTCTGTTGCGGAATGAGAAGTGACTTTTGTGCTCTAGTGCAATTTTGTATTCTGTTTAATTCTGCAGGAAGACAATGACAAGAACCAGGAAGAATCATCGGTCAAACTCGCTCTGCCCAAGAAAGCTGGAGCCCCGATTTTATCAAAGAGGTATTTGTCTGGGTTTTAGGGTTCAGTGTTGGGCCGCAGCTCTGCTTTGGAGAGGTGTTGAAATTTAAAAAAGCCCAAAAAACTGCTTGTCCAAGGACTAAAGCGTGGGCCCAATCTACTTGTCCTGATACGATTTCGGTTAAAATTATTTTTTTGTATTTAGCAGCGCTAAGGCTGGGTTCAGACCTGAGCCTTTTTTTTATGCTCGTTTTTCAGCTCGTTTTTTTCGCGTTTTTCCGTTCAGTGAAACGTGCGTTTCACTGGCGGTATGATTTTTTTGGGGGGTTTTTGCCTTTATTTTCTCTATTTAACTGCTTGAAGACCAGGTGTTTAGATCCCCTACCTGGCCAGGCCATTTTTCAGTGTTCAGCGCTGCGGTACTTTGACTGACATTTATTCCGTCATGCAACGCTGTACTGAAATGAATTTTATACCATTTTTTTGGGGACAGATAGAGCTTTCTTTTGGTGGTATTTAATCACCACTGCGGGTTTTATTTTTTACTATATTCAGGAGAAATTACTGAAAATTTTTTTTTACATTACGCTTCTCGTTGGTCAGCGCCGTCAGGTGGCCGTGTTGACCAACTAGTGCTTGCAATTTGCGAGCGAAATTCAGAATTTATGGCACGGGTACAGATGGTACACCCATACTGGCGGACAGGAACGACTGGCCGCCGAAAGGTAGGTATAGCAGGGAGGTAGAAGGGGCCAGATTTGTGCTTGTAATTTAATTTTCACAAAATTACTTGGGGAAGTGAATTTACCCTTTAGGGCTTGTGCAGACTTGGGCGATCCTAGGACGCACGTGATCGTGTGCGGTTGCCGCGTGGCCACATTGATTTAATTGGGGATACATGAGCGCGGCAATCGCTGAAAAAAGGTACATGTGCCTTTTTTCGCGACGCACCGCACAGTGTTTTTAACTGCGATTGTGCGCAATTGCATGGGCGGCATTGCGGCAGGAAACTGCGCAATCTGCCAGCGTGATCAGCGGTGCTGTGTGATTCCGTGATCACCCAGCTATCCACGCGGTTTCATGCACGATTACCGCACTGTCACGTATCGCCCAGGTCTGGCCTTAACGCACATTGTGCTTGTATAAAGGGCGCTGCTGCCCGGCCACCACAATATGGCACACAGTAGAATGGGGGCACCACTCTGCTCACACACACACACACTGCCCTATGCATGCGTTTATTCACATGCAGATGGTGGAGGCAGCGGGGTTGGTTTTAAATTTATTTAATTTTTTTAAATTTACTTTTTTTTAATTTTATTTTTACTTTATCGCCTTTTTTATTATTTACATTTTTAGTTGTTGCTTTAATTTTTACATTTTTATTTATTAAAATTTTTTTTTTTTTATTACTTTATTGCTGTCACACAGGAACTAACAAGCCCTGTGTGATAGCATTTGGAGGTGACAGGTTCTCTTTATTGAACCTGTCACCTCCAATACAGGAGTTCTAACCTCCAATACAGGAGTTCTAGCACATCACTGTGCTCGTTCTCCTGTGACAGGAAGGCTGCAAGTGCTCCGCTCTGCTCCCGCTCTCCAACCTGATCTCATTTGCCATGGTCCTGGGTCACCCAGAAGAGCAGGGGACCCCGAAGACCACAGCGGGGAGGGAGCCAGCGGGTGGGGAGAGAGGCAGCGAAGGGCGGTGACAGATGGTGTGCGTGAAGAGACGCACCTGCCGGGGACAGAGGAGGAGGGCGGTGACAGAGGGAGAGAGGCGGTGTTCGGGGAGGGGGAGTGACAATCAGGCTGCTTACAAGCTCGAGATCACTTGCACAAAACGGCTCCCCCTCTAAATTTAGCCCTGCTGCTTGCCCGAAACAGGGCTAAATGTAGAAAAAAACTACCCGTCCGGAACTGAATGTCACGGGTCTCAGGCGAAAGGGATTTTACACCCCTGTGGTTATTAACCAGTTGAAGTCCGCGGTGTTACACCCCCTTCCCATCCAGGCCATTTTTTAGTATTCAGCGCTGCGGTACTTTGACTGACATTTATTCCGTCATGCAACGCTGTACTGAAATTAATTTTATACCATTTTTTAGGGACTGATAGAGCTTTCTTTTGGTGGTATTTAATCACCACTGGGGGTTTTATTTTTTACTATATTAAGGAAAAATTACCGGATTTTTTTTTTTTTAAACTGTTTCCCCTATATTATATAACATTTATTATTACCCAATTTTTTGGTAAAATATAAGAGACGGGGTCACGTCGGGTAAAAAGACACAAACATGTCAAGCCTTAAAATTACGTGCGCGAAACCTCAAAAAAATTTAATACCCAAAATTGGCCGTAGGCGACGCTTTAAAAGCTTTTACTGCCCATCAGTCTAGTGTTATCAGTGATTGATGGCCCTAAAATTATTGAAGCAGAAAAAAAATGCCGTCTGAAGATGGCAACCCGCCAATGCGACTGTGCTGTCCGTCCTTTTTTTTGCAACGGGCGGACGGCAACTGGTTAAAGGTGCTTATGCTAAACATTAAATTTACTTTGGTATGTGCAAACTACTACTAATAAAACAATGTTCCTGCTTAACATTTTTTGTTTTTTGTTTTTTTATTAGTATGGGTGAAATTATTTTTTATATAACTTTTGTATACATTTTGTATCTTATTTTGGAAATTATATAAATTCGGGTTTTGATGAATTCTGCTTTGTGCCTTTTAGAATCTCCAGCCTCACAAAGACGCTGCATGTTCGCAGTAAGTGTAAATCTCGAAAACGCCCTTCTAGGACCATGGATGGCAAAAAGCAATCAATTAGACCACCTGGACGGACAAGCAAAGCTCAGCGAAGAAGACAGACTGGCAAAACAGGAAGGAACAGAGAATAGAGATTTCAAGACACATACTTTTTCCAAGCTCCCAGAAACCTGTAGTTTTTGGGGGGGGTTTTGCAGTCGTGCCAACCAAACTATGTCTAAACAATTCACGGTGCACTCTGCACCACACCTTACAACTGTAAAGTTGAAGAAACAAGACCGAAAACTTTCATGAATTTTTTTTTCTATTTACAAAAAGAAAAAATATGCTTTTTATACAGTGCCTAGTTTCTTTTAATTTTACATTAATCTAGCATATATGGGTCACATCATACAGTTTGAACAAGAGATAAATCCTTGCTGCACTCCTTACCAGGATTTCCATATGGATGCACAAGCTTGAAATGACTGTGGATGGCGCCACCAACATGCAGATAGTCGAGAAATGTCAGCAGCACACCAGATCGACTATTACAGCAAATAAGCGTCCATTTATTGACTTATGCTGTCTCATTTGCAAGCGCTTTCGGGGCTGCACAGGGTCCCCTTCATCAGGCTTGGAGATGAGTGTACAGATAACAAATCGTCATTATATAGGCATACTGATTAGAGTGCAAGAGAGGCCACTCCCCCGCCCCTGATGTCACAATGACGTCCTAGTCATGCCATTTCATGTTTAAATTGTGATGTAAACAAATAAACATAACTCGGAAATCAAACAGCCCATAGAGATAACATACAGAGGCATATAAATAAATGGTCATTAATAGCAGTAGTCAGAAGAACAAAGGAGATTCCATGTACTTAAAGAATGCTGCTGCTTTCACAGCCGTTGAAGAATGTGGTAGAGCGTCCTGTTACCAGGACAACCAGCGGCGGTTCTTTCAACATTCTCCAGCGGCGGTATTCTTTCAGTACACGGAATCTCTTTTGTTGTTCTGACTGTTTTTCATCAACCGATGTGAGTACTGCTATTGACCATTTATTTATATGACGCTGTATGTTATCTTTATGTTTTGAGTTCTGAGTTATGTTTTTTTTTTTGCATCACAATGTAAACATAAAGTGGCAAGGCTATGACTTCATTGTGACGTCGGGGGCGGGGGAGTGGCCTCTGTTGCATTCTTTAATCAGTATGTCTATATAATGATGATTTGTTATCTGTACACTGTCATCTTTAAACCTGATGAAGGGGACCCTGTGCGGCCCCGAAAGGACTTGCCAATGAGAGAGAGCATACGTCAATAAATGGACGCTTATTTGCTGTAATGATCGGTCTGGTGTGCTGCTGACATTTCTTGACTAACATCATACAGTTTGTGATAGAACCAATTTGCTGATGCTGCGAGAGCTCCAGTTCACATCATGCAACCAATGGAAGATAAGGGGTGGTGACCTCTTGTTTAAAAGGCCCCCACCCTGTGTGTGTATGAAAGAGAAGCTTCTCCAGCATCATGATGCAGGTAATTGAGGAGCATGAGTGCTGTTAGTTAATATGATCTGGTCAAGCTTGTGAGGTCTATAAACAGACAGTGAAAGGAAGGACATTTTCTCTCAGTTCATTGTGTTAAACGTCTTTTTACAGCTATCAGAATATTTAAAGCATGGACTTCATTTGTTTTTATCCTGCAAAGTTTGTTTCATCCTGCATGTTAAATTATAGAATAGATGGCAGTGGAGCAGGTGTTGAGGTTGTGTGGTTGAGTGACTTTATTATAGTCCTTTTCAGTAGGCTCAGTTATTAAACTTATTGCTTTGCAGGACTCAAACATGTAACGTTTTCTCTTTGAAACAACATGTCACAGTTTTGGAAACTAGTGACATCAAGAATTGTAACCAGTCGCTTGTCTCCTACTTTCACTTTTTAACCTATTCTAAAAAAGACACCTAGAGGTCTGCTTATTTGTCATGGGCAGCTTAATGTGTATCTATGCCCAAATTGTGTTGTTATGGATAGAAAGGGTGAAAGGTTAGAACCCTGTCAGGTTTTACTGCAATCCAGGGCTTCATTATAGAGGTTTCTCCTCACCTGTTTTAGGGACAAACTTTTACCAGACAGGACGAGACAGCGAAACAGACAACAATTAAAAGCTGACAGAGATTGTTCTAGCATTGCCCTACTTAACGTAAAGTTTTTTCACTTCTGTCTGTTGAGAGAGATTTTCCCTCACTACTTGTCCTGGGGACAAACCTTTTACCAGACAGGAAGTGAAGGCAAATCTGTGAAAAGGAGCCTCCAACGTCAGTAAAGTTTTTGTTTGTGTGTTTGTGTGTGTGTGTGTGTGTGTGTATATAATATATATTTCTCTCATTGAAAAAAAACCTATACTGAAAGAAATATGTAACTAGTGTACTAACTATGTATTTCCTTCGATACCTATTTTCTGTAGAAAGTAGGCTACTTGGCGTGTTTTAATGTGTCTTGAGTATTGTAGATTATAAATTAATGTAGAATTCCGGTCAAACCGCTCAATATACAGTTTAAATAATACTATTCTAATATTTGCCTGTACACCCAAACTGCACAGCCGCGTAGGTGAAAAACTTCTCTGCTTCAGCAACACTTATCGTGTCTTCACGATAGCAGGCAGCATTATCACCTCTGCTTACTGAGCAGGCAGCTGAGCTAGGAATTGGTAATGATGATAAACCAGGAAGTAGGAAGATCTATGTGGCCAGTAGAGGTGTTAGGCCAACAATGTGTGTGATCCCATTACAAATCCTTTGGTAGGTACATTAGCAAAGATGGACATTTTTGAAAGCTGTTTGCATTAAATTCCCCCTTTAAGCACAAGTATATTAAGCTGGACATGCATCTATAGATTATCTGCAAATTTTCTATGGTCAGATGGAAAAAGGGCAAAAGATTCCTCCATCGATGCTAAACTGTGTGTATGGAGTAATCTCCCGCTGGGCCAAGCTTCAGTATCATGCTAGTTGGGCCTGCTGGCTGTCAAAATACCTGAACAATCTGATTGGATGCAGGCATTGTTCAGGTATTTTGAGAGCCAGTGGGGCAGACTAGCAAGATACTGAAGCTTGGCCCAGTGGGAGATTCTTCCATCTACACAGTTTAGCGTAAATGGGGGAATCTGTTGCACTTTTTCCATCTGACTATAGAACAATCTATAGGTGTATGGCCAGCTTTAGGCTGCAATGTCCTCCTCTAGCAAAGTTGCAATGTGTTTTGTACATGCATTAACTAACTGTATTTCATTTACTCAACTTAAAACTAGACCATGACCAATGTCAAAACACATGCAATTCAGACCAGGGTCGTAACTAAGATTGTGAAAGACCTGGGACACCCTGAGGAAAGTAATTGTGCAGCAGTGAATGGTGGGTGTGACGATGATTAAGGGGGGTATGGGTTAAAAACAAAAAACCTGAGTCTACTCATTGTATACACAAACATACCACAGTCCATCAGTACCTAGAAAATATGCTATTACTGTGCCAGAAGCAAGAGTCTCACAGACATAACCCTAAACTCAGCTCCTGTAAAAAAAAAACAGGCAGTGCACCATAACAAAGAATGGGTGTGGTTAAATTGTGCTGAAAATTGGGTGTGGTTTAAAGTAACATGGTTCGTTATAGTCTTAAGGTGCCCATACACCTATTGGTTTTCGATTGGAAATTTTCTTTGCTGCCAAGAACCCTCTTTCGATTCTAGCTTAAATAGCCCATCAAGCACAGACCAATGTCGATTTTGATAATTGTTCATTAGCAATACTAACTCACTAAAAATAAACAATAAAGGTGATCAGCGCCAGTAAGTGTAAGACTAGAGTTAAACCACCCGGGGGGTGGGTGCTAGTAAGATGCAGAGGGCGGCCGAAGCTTGGCTTGCCTAGGGCAGCCAAATACATAACTACACCACTGCCTACAGGGCTAGGTCACTTTGCACTTTCTGGGTATTGCCTTTACGGTAGTATGCTTGTCCTTGTCCTTTTTCTCTTTCCACCTGGATTTATACTGGCACCTGTGATCTGAGGAGACCTTATCGCCTTTTCTGTGCATGGGCTTCCCTCCCCCATTAAGAAGGGAAAAAGTGCATTTGACCTAGCCCTGTAGGTCTACCTCCCCAGGTGAGCACTCACTTGTCATCACTCACTGGGTGGAGGTGAAGGTCTGCCTGCATTGTGTGATTATCCTTGCCTGAGAGTTATATGCAGATTGGCTGCGAATCATCTGAAGGATTATTTTTTTTTTTGCACAATCACCATTGAATACTAACTCATCGAATTTCGAAAAAAGTTTTCAAGCCTGACCGATCAGGGAAATTTTGCCAGGAGTACAATAATTAAAATCGGTGGTGTCTTATCAACTGATTGATTATCGTTCAAAGGACCATTTGTGGACTATTTCCGAGCGAAAATCGATAGCTTTATGGGCACCATAAACAGTACACAATGCACCCCTTATACCCACAAAATACCCCTTACATACTGTGCCACAAGTCAATTTCCCAAATACACATAACCCTAAATGATAGTCCTTAAAAATAGAACAGGATATGGATAAAGAGCTAACACTTCATATGAGCGTATCTTTAAGAAGAACTGTATTAAAAAAAGTGAAAAACTTATTGGAAATCCATGACTGTTAACTCAATCAACAGAGTATGTAATGTACAGCAGTAAGCACTTTGCTATGTACAGCACAATGCACAGAGTGTAGTTGTAAGTAGTTTGTGTCATAGTGTCCTTTTATATAACTGGTCAGCAAAAGGATGATGCAAGATGGCCAGCGTCTGTATTCAATGGGAGCAAGAAATTACTGGCATTGGTGGTCAGCTGGAGAAATTGAGAGACCTACTGGTAACTCTCTTTCCTGTAGTGTACAGGAAAGAGAGTTACCGTTAAGTCTAACTCTGAATGTCTCTAGTTGTCTTCTAGGTCAGCTTGCAAGAGGTTAAATAAACTGATCCATTTAGGGTGGGATTACAGCTTGAAGTACCTTTCTACCAAATGCTTGCTCGCCTGCACCGTATAGGTCCAGTCGATAATGACGAACGAATGTGGTAAAGCTTGACCACATTGCACCTCTGCATACCTGTTCTGGTGTGGCACCAGCTTTCTCCGCCGAA